ACTTATTCACTAGGTACAAGAATAACATCAATACGGATGCTAATTGCTATAGCTTCTTTGAATTGTCTTGGTATACATCAAATGGATGTAGAGACAACATTCTTCAATGGTGAATTAGATAAAGAAATATGCATGAAATACTCTAAAGGGTTCATTATTAATGAACAAGAAAAGAAAGTAGGTAAGCTTGTTAAATCTCTTTATGATTTAAAATAAGCATCAAAACGGGGGTACGAAAAATTTGACAAAGTAATGTTGCCAAATGAGTTTAAAATAAATGAGTGTGACAAACATGTATATGTCAAGAGTACCCATAGTGGATACATTGTATGTCTATATGTAGACGACATACAAATTATAGGTAGTAATATGATGTCATTAAAGTTACCAAACGAATGTTGACCAATAGGTTTGAAATGAAAAACCTAGGTGTTGCTAACGTTGTATTAAAAAATAAAATTTCTAAAATACTAGGTGGAATGACGTTATCTCAGTCTCACTATATTCATAAAGTACTTGATAAATTCAAGAAGTATGAGATAAAATCTATGAGAATACTTATCAATGTTAATATCCATCTTTTTAAGAATAATAATGCAATTATATCTCAATTAGAATATGAACATATAATAGTCTAATGTATATCATGAATTGTGTCATCCAAATATAGCATACTCTATGAGTAAGTTGAGTTGATATACCAGTAATCCCCAAAAAAAAAACCACTTGAAGGCAATAGTGAGAGTTTTGGGATATTTAAAATATACCTGCAACTATGATTTTTGTTTTACAAAATACCCAGCTATACTCGAGAGACATACTGATGTTAACTGTATATATGATACTAAAGATTCAAAATCCATGATTGGATGTTTATGTCTTTACCTTAGGAAGTGCAACCATGTCTTGAAAACCCTCAAAACAAACATGTATTGCTAGATCTATAATGGAATTTGAATTCATTGCCTCAGATAAAGTTAGAGAATAAGCAAAATGGCTTCGTAACTTCTTAGAGGATATTCTGAATTGGTCAAAGCCTGTGCCAGCAATATGTAAACCTTGTGATAGCCAATCTATGATTGGAAGGGCACAAAATTGTATTTATAATGGTAAGTCTCGACACATACGTCATAAACATAATAACTTTAGGCAGTTGCTCTCTAATATCATTATATCCATTGACTACATGAAGTCAAAGGATAATATCGCAGATCTGCTTACAAAGGGTTTGCCTAGAGAGCAATTAGAAAGTTCATTGAGGGGAATGGGCTGAAAACCTATTACTTAACCAAGAGTCATCATAAAGGCAACCCAACCTAACTAACTGGAGATCTCAAGATCTAGGTTCAAAATATTATGTATAACTGAGATATGCACTAGGGAGGTTTTCAACTCTTTCACATTCCTATAGTGAGACATTACATATATGTTATGAGAACTTGGATAAATTATGCTTTTAAAGATTTGTGTGGCTTGGAAAAGTTCAAGTAAGGTATAGCAGGATATTCTAAATCATAAATCACTTATGTGAGTAAAAAAGGGTCATTTCTATGAGAATCGTAGGTTGATTTCTCTAAATAATTCATGAAACCAAGTGGTGTTTGAGGTCAAAATGAATACAAATGTGAGAACCAACTGTGTCTGAAGGAAAACTGTATGAATTTTATTGTCTTGATTTACACAAGTAACTAACAGTTCAAAGACATCAAATCAATTAATTTGCCAGGTAAATTCGATAATCTTTCACTAAGGAAAGTTCAAGACCACTAGGCTACTTATCCCTATGGAATAACTTTTCAACTATACTTGAACCGGTGTGTTTTTTAATACAACAAATTTTCATTCTTGTGGTGGATTTTTTGGAAAAATTAAGTTTGTGAACAAATTATTTTGGAGAAATTTTGAGCGTAAATAAAAAGTGGGAACCACACCTCAAAATTGGTGGGAAAGTGACCCACTTGAATGGATGGAAAAAATTATGAATGATATGGTGCAGTGTAATAAGCTTTATCTCACATTAGAAAGAAACCAAAAACTTGGTGAGTTAATATTTTACTAGTTGGCTTTGGTTGGGCCACAAAGGATACCACACTTAGGTGCTAAGCGAAACAAGCACCTACACAACCTTAGTTACTATACGCATGTGCTGCCCGCCATGACCCGGCTGGGCTTGGGCTTGGGTCAACAAAATCTTATGTTTTTCTTAAAAGTTTATTTGGCGGGTTATGGGTAAAACCAAATGGATCTAAACGCAAATCTCACTTAGTCTTTCAATTCAAATTCAAAATTCTTGTCTGTTGTTTCCCTTTCGTTACTGTTCGATTAAATGTGTGTCTATTCAATCTAAATATACACATTGAATAGGGGTGTCTTGTGTCTCTTCAAGCAATCCGAACAGACACAAGAGAGTCTATAAAATGACTCCCTTGAAGTCATTTTCAGATCATTGACCTTCCTAAATACTCTCTCTCTCTCTGCAATTCATTTCTNTTGTGTCTCTTCAAGCAATCCGAACAGACACAAGAGAGTCTATAAAATGACTCCCTTGAAGCCATTTTCAGATCATTGACCTTCCTAAATACTCTCTCTCTCTCTGCAATTCATTTCTATTATGTTTAAATTCAAACACTTATTTTGTTCGTTGTATTTTGGAGATTTGAGTGTTACTTCTTCAAAATCGAAATCCGTTCTATCTTGTGAGACAATTGTTTATCAACCTTAAGTACTGAGAGGAGCAAATGTGTCTTATTATTGTTGTTGTTCTGCAATCAAGTAAGTGTAATTTTTTTTATTTTTGTTTATACATTTTGTTTTATATAATTGTTTTGCATTTAACAATACACATATTGATTAAGATTTGCTACATTACTTAGTTTTATCATATTCTGATTATATATTGAATAACAAAAATAACTATAACTNTTATTTTTGTTTATACATTTTGTTTTATATAATTGTTTTGCATTTAACAATACACATATTGATTAAGATTTGCTACCTTACTTAGTTTTATCATATTCTGATTATATATTGAATAACAAAAATAACTATAACTATGAATTTTAACCAAATGTTTCAAATATAACCGGTGTTTTCTACTAATCAATTTCCCGCTACCTTCTTTTCATTGGAGTGCTTTTATTGAAAGCTAACAAGACACCATTGGCTTGGCCTCATTCCCCCCCCCCCCCCCCCCCNTTCAAATATAACCGGTGTTTTCTACTAATCAATTTCCCGCTACCTTCTTTTCATTGGAGTGCTTTTATTGAAAGCTAACAAGACACCATTGGCTTGGCCTCATTCCCCCCCCCCCCCGTCTCTTCCCTCTCCCAGGTCTGAGTAGGGTAATGGCAAGTTCTTGGCACGAAGCTTGGGCTTTTCAATCGATTGGGCCAGGCCTAATTGGCGTCCTTCATTTTACCAACATTTTTTCATAATATGTGAATATTGATTGCTCATGACTTTTTTTATGCTCTATTCTACTTTTCTTGCTTCACTCAACCGTGTTTTGGGTGTTTTCTTTTCTACGTGTAAGATAGATGTATCAATTTTCATTGTAATAATGCATTCTTCATTGCAATAGTGACATACCATTATACATTAGAAAAAGAGATGTCTTCCTTCTCGGTGACCGCTTACAGTGGACAAAACATGCACCATTCTAGTTATCATATTTGCAAACTAAGCGTCGATACTCACACCTAACAAATAAGAGATCTCCAAGAATATCTAATTGGTGTATGAGTGTGTTTCGTCATTTGAGTGTAGTATTTTCAATATAAAATAGGTATGGGAAGACTGGAACTCATAATACATACTAAATGTAACTTAAAAAGAAAGGATGGATATTTATTTTTTTATGTGTAATATTACCTCTATCACATTCTTGCAATGGAAGCTTATTAGGAAAAGGAATTCAAAAGACTAGGAAAAAATGTGATTACAAATAAGGAAGCCAAAGATTCAATCATACAAAAAAATGAATCTTGTCTCAGCTTAACCACTCTCCATCCATTCCTTCAATTTCCCCGATGTCCATACTGCATATATTATAGCAGAAGCACAAAGAAACAGATCAGAATAAGTAAAACCATTTAGAAAATATATAAAAACTTCTGCATATCAAGTAAATTTTGATTTAGAGCAAAGTAATTTGAGCTGCCAAAGCTATAGAAAAAGTATCTGTCCTGTTTATTTACATTACGAAGGGAACAGGCCAGTTTCTCTCTGTCAGTCTCACAGGATGAGGTATGGCTTAAATCATCACTGTTCTTGGGGGAAAAGGGTTTGGAAGTTTCAGATTCAAATCACCTCTAATATTCTTTCCCTCAATGAAAGGTTACACGAGCAACTCACTTCCAATCTTCTTTTTTATCCGATCTACTATTGAGAGAAATTGAGGAAAAAAATATAATATAGTGTGTTAATCCAAATCCAAAGTTTTTTTGCGATCTGTTAAACATTAGCTGAACCCTTTACTTGTTTAACCCTTGGTCTGGATTATTGAGTTGACTACAGTTTTAATGGATGCACTGGGCTAGGCTTCACAGCTTTGCTTTACCAAGATCTCAAGGATTTTTTTTTCCAAAAACAATAGACACAGATGGTCTTGATCAGCCCCCAACAATAAGTAAATACATGCACAAACCCAAAAAGAGGGAAAAATTAATCATAGAGAAGTAGAAGAAGAAATTGGGTTGGTGATTTTTTTTGTTGGAGGACCATATGGGCACTATCTTGTAAAAGTTTCAGCCGACGGATGAAATAAAAGTACTAGCAAGTGGACATAAAGGTTCAGATCATATACCATCACTCAGTAAATAAGAAAAAGAGTGAAGCAATTTTGCCGATAAATAAATAACACCCCCGGATTTGACCATGAAGGGGGCCAAAATAAAGTGAAAATATGAAAAAGAACATAACAGCAAATATTTGTACGGAGAGAAGGCCTCGAAACTTATGAAGGACATAAAAAAAAAAGTACAAGACGAATAAAGTTCTTACCATGGCAAGTCAGGATCTTGCAAGTAGTAATCAGAGGAATGGTCGCTCAAATATTGCTCCAAGCAGCTGTCATTTGGACTCAGCCAGGCTGGGAACTCCATGACTTCATCAAACAAATGGTATCCATCGTCTTCAACTTTCTCCTCTGGACCAATTTCCATACTCTTCAAGAACTTAAACCACCATGCTGATGTGACCAAATTCAAGGTGTCATTCCATTCCATCTCATGCTGCTCTCCTATCGACCTGATCTCAGCCATCTCATCATCGTCCATGGCTGGATGAAGGCCTAAATCTTCTCCGTTGGCAATTCCGTCCACAATAACAACAGTGTCCGCCACTTCAGCCACCAAAGGAAGTCCCTCGTGTGACAGTGCCACAGAGGGGACTTCCTCCGTTGCAACAGAAAGAGCGGACGAAGAAGAAGTTGATGCAGATGAGGATGAAGAATAGATTGATGGAAAGTTGCTATTTTGGTAAAGAGTGGAGTTTATGTTATTGAAATCATGAAAATTTAGATTCAAACCTAAGGTTTGGTTAGGAAGAGAGAGATTGAGATTAAGGTTTTCTGGAATAGGTGGAGGAACAACTGGTGACACAGGCCAAGAGTAAGAATTTGGGGGAGGACAAGAAAAAGCAGAGTAGAACAAATTGTTGGTGGCAGTGGTGGTGGAGGCCGTGGCCGTGGCCGTAGTGGTGGTGATGGTGGAGGCATAAATTCTAGGATTTTTTCTGGATTTAAAATGTCTTTCTTGTTCAAAAAAAGGTTGAGATGATGGCTGCAATGGGGTTGGTTCCATTTGGGATTGGTTTTGTCGTTGTTCATTGGCTTGTTTCATGGAAGCTCTATGGAATTTAAGGGCGGTGACAATCTCTCTCCTAGCCTCAGCCATATTGAGAAGCCTCTCTTGGTAAGGCCTGCTTGTGTGAAGCCTCCTTCTAACTTGTTTTTTGTGTTGTTGGGGTTGTTGGGAAGGCTGAGATTGTTGTTGGGTCTCACTAAATTTAGTTAAATTTTGTTGGGAAGGAGGAGACCCATGATCTCCATCTACTTCAGTGCCCGGGTCTTTGGGGGTTTTCATAGAAGAATCTTTGGTTCTTGAAGAGGTTAACTGTTTTACAAGGCTACGGATATAAGCACCTGAGAGATGAGCCTCTTGTTTCAACTTCTCATCCTTGTCTATTTCCATTCCAACTTTGCTCCCTTGCTTTGAATTCCTTCCCCTCATCTCTCTCTCTCTCTCTCTCTCTCTCTGCGTGTGTGTCACTCATTCAAATGGGGTGCTGGAAGGCAATGAAGGAGGTGGCGGTGGGAGAGTCATTGTTTACCATTCAAAGTACACAATACAGAGAGGCAGAGGTAAGGAGGGTCTCGTGTTGTATAAATAGCTAGCGATAATATAGGGTCTTTTGTTCGTTTGGAATTTTTCCCGTTTTGGAAAACCACTAGGTTGTTGCTTTTTTTATTACCAGCTTTAAATAGGCTATTAGGAGGAGTAAATATTGGGTGTAATAGTTACACCAATCAGTCACATTAATATAGTGTAATCGTTCAATAATAAAACAACAAATAGACAATTGGATTATCCTCACCTTTCAATTTAAATTTTAAATTTCTTCAAACGATTTTATTTTTGGTGCCTAATACAAACTTGCTATCACCTTATTTCTCCTTTTTCCCCTCTTTCTTTAGTTTACTCCCCACCTTAATCCCTAGGGTGGGTACCCCAACCCCCTCACACCATGCCCCTATTTGGTAAACATATATTCAATGGGTCGAGCCACTATATCGCATGGTAACATAGTGATCCTGACCAATGAGAAGATAACATAGGAAAAAGTAAGACCTATTTTGATAAATTTAAGACAAAACTCAAATGATTTAGATTACATAAAAGACTACTTTGAAGAGAAACACCACACTAATAAGATGGTTAATCATCTTTCGACAAAACTCTATTTTGACAAGAATTATTCAAATGAGTGCAGAAATACACACAAAACTTGAATGTCAGAAGCAACAGTCCTCGTTGTATTATTAAGTGCCTTTTATATCCAGAACGGTTCCATGAAACTTTTCCATGTATATATATATGTGTGTGTGTGTTAAAGAAAGCAATAAAGAATGCAAAGATTAGAACAAGACTTAGGTCAATATGCGGATCGGATCATGCTTAAGTGACATTGAATTTAAGTCATGTCATGTCAAATTTATTCAATTCATTTGAAGTACTTCATGTTTTTGCATATCGACTTCATGTCATAGGTAAATTATGTATAATTAAATTNCAGAGTAGAACAAATTGTTGGTGGCAGTGGTGGTGGAGGCCGTGGCCGTGGCCGTAGTGGTGGTGATGGTGGAGGCATAAATTCTAGGATTTTTTCTGGATTTAAAATGTCTTTCTTGTTCAAAAAAAGGTTGAGATGATGGCTGCAATGGGGTTGGTTCCATTTGGGATTGGTTTTGTCGTTGTTCATTGGCTTGTTTCATGGAAGCTCTATGGAATTTAAGGGCGGTGACAATCTCTCTCCTAGCCTCAGCCATATTGAGAAGCCTCTCTTGGTAAGGCCTGCTTGTGTGAAGCCTCCTTCTAACTTGTTTTTTGTGTTGTTGGGGTTGTTGGGAAGGCTGAGATTGTTGTTGGGTCTCACTAAATTTAGTTAAATTTTGTTGGGAAGGAGGAGACCCATGATCTCCATCTACTTCAGTGCCCGGGTCTTTGGGGGTTTTCATAGAAGAATCTTTGGTTCTTGAAGAGGTTAACTGTTTTACAAGGCTACGGATATAAGCACCTGAGAGATGAGCCTCTTGTTTCAACTTCTCATCCTTGTCTATTTCCATTCCAACTTTGCTCCCTTGCTTTGAATTCCTTCCCCTCATCTCTCTCTCTCTCTCTCTCTCTCTCTGCGTGTGTGTCACTCATTCAAATGGGGTGCTGGAAGGCAATGAAGGAGGTGGCGGTGGGAGAGTCATTGTTTACCATTCAAAGTACACAATACAGAGAGGCAGAGGTAAGGAGGGTCTCGTGTTGTATAAATAGCTAGCGATAATATAGGGTCTTTTGTTCGTTTGGAATTTTTCCCGTTTTGGAAAACCACTAGGTTGTTGCTTTTTTTATTACCAGCTTTAAATAGGCTATTAGGAGGAGTAAATATTGGGTGTAATAGTTACACCAATCAGTCACATTAATATAGTGTAATCGTTCAATAATAAAACAACAAATAGACAATTGGATTATCCTCACCTTTCAATTTAAATTTTAAATTTCTTCAAACGATTTTATTTTTGGTGCCTAATACAAACTTGCTATCACCTTATTTCTCCTTTTTCCCCTCTTTCTTTAGTTTACTCCCCACCTTAATCCCTAGGGTGGGTACCCCAACCCCCTCACACCATGCCCCTATTTGGTAAACATATATTCAATGGGTCGAGCCACTATATCGCATGGTAACATAGTGATCCTGACCAATGAGAAGATAACATAGGATAAAGTAAGACCTATTTTGATAAATTTAAGACAAAACTCAAATGATTTAGATTACATAAAAGACTACTTTGAAGAGAAACACCACACTAATAAGATGGTTAATCATCTTTCGACAAAACTCTATTTTGACAAGAATTATTCAAATGAGTGCNGTTCTTTCGACTCTTGAAGAGAGAGATAATCAACTTTTCAGGTAAAAAGTTATTCCCAAGGTTGAAGTTGGAAAGTTATGGACTCCATTAACTTCGTTTGCAAACATTCTTACAGGAGATGCAGTGCAATTTCAAAAAATATGAGGGTATTATCTGTAACTATCAGATATCAGGAGGGATATCATTGTAATTTTCCATTAATATGCATATGTAATATATTATATACTTATAAATATGTTATGTTATAATAATGGGCAAAATCCAATACTTTCTGTTTGAATTGTTGAACATGATTAGAGTCTGTTCATGAAGCAGAGAACTTGGACCTTTGCAAAAGCATTGCACACTGCCTGTAAAAGACAGAAATGCTCCATACCATCTTCTTTTTCATTTCAGTTTTCCTATCCTTTCTTGTTGCTTTTTCTCCAAATATTTTCTTGTTTACTTCCCTAACAGTAATTGTAGGTGGCAGTGGCATGGTTTCTGATTTAGCAGAGTTTAGTGCCAGCAACTAAGAATAAATATATCAACCTCCCCGCACCCCCCCCCCCCCCCCCCCTCCCCCCCCCCCCAAAAAAACCACCACCAAAAAAAAAACCAAATTTAAAAAANATTAAGATTCAGCAGATTTTTCGTGTAATGACTGAAATAGATTATGATACCAAAAAATAAGTCTCACTAATAACTTGGACTTGAATTATTTATAGCCATGAATTGAGAAAATAATGATATAAAATAAAATCATATCAGGAAAAGTGTTCACTAATTACGTTATAATTGGAAAAAAGAGATATAATATCCAAAAATGACTATTTATGACTTAATTTAATTTACCTTGATTAGGTCGATCAACCATGTCGGGTGAGACCAGTTTTTATCGAGTTCTAACAGCTTCACGTCAAAAAATATTTTATTCATACTCAATTCATTTATTAATTTACATCTCACGAATTGTGACATTTCAATTTCTTATAATGTATGAACCGTGTATAACTGATATATATATATATAAGTCATGTCATGTTCACTCGTTTTCTAAACAGGTAACTTCAGAAAGATTTAAATCTTTCAGAAAGATTCAAATCTTTTAATTTTAAATCGTGTTCGTATCGTGTTAACAAGTCATATCATATTGACCGATGGCGAAAGGGCATTTTAGGGATAGAATTTTTTGACGATTGCTTCAGTATGCAAGATGGCACTCTGGGACCAGGCTCTAAAACGTCAGCAAAGGCTATGGAAACTGACAGAAGAATCTCCATTACTAAACTTACCTATTTCGTAAGCAAAAATACGCTGACACCCCTCCTAATATATAGCTTTATAGGAGATACCTTTGTAGTTTCTAGAATTACATTATTTTCCGGTTTGAAATTCTACAGTATGAGGTACCAATCCATTTTTCCTTAGCACTTAGAACGCCCACAACAACAAAAACACATGCAACCACAACAAGCAACGAGCAAAGCAATGCTCAAATACAGCGTATTTTGCATAACTCATTGTTGCATGACCACGTTGGGATGGCTAGCAGAAATGGATCCAAACTAAACCAAACAAAGTCCCACTGAAAGGTGAACAAAAACTATTGCAACCATAAACTAGACACACTGAAAGAATGAAACAGCACACGAGTCATGGTAAGGTGATGGGCTTTGGTGCAGTGCATATGGTGGTGCGAAAAAAGTATTGAATAGATGGGTTCCCTCTACTACTCGCAATCATATTCTTGTGCATGCACAGCATGTGTTCGTGCATGTATCCACATGTATCTGAGAGAGAGAGAGAGGGGGGAGAGGGAGGGAGGGAGGGTGTATCATGGTTCTTTCGACTCTTGAAGAGAGAGATAATCAACTTTTCAGGTAAAAAGTTATTCCCAAGGTTGAAGTTGGAAAGTTATGGACTCCATTAACTTCGTTTGCAAACATTCTTACAGGAGATGCAGTGCAATTTCAAAAAATATGAGGGTATTATCTGTAACTATCAGATATCAGGAGGGATATCATTGTAATTTTCCATTAATATGCATATGTAATATATTATATACTTATAAATATGTTATGTTATAATAATGGGCAAAATCCAATACTTTCTGTTTGAATTGTTGAACATGATTAGAGTCTGTTCATGAAGCAGAGAACTTGGACCTTTGCAAAAGCATTGCACACTGCCTGTAAAAGACAGAAATGCTCCATACCATCTTCTTTTTCATTTCAGTTTTCCTATCCTTTCTTGTTGCTTTTTCTCCAAATATTTTCTTGTTTACTTCCCTAACAGTAATTGTAGGTGGCAGTGGCATGGTTTCTGATTTAGCAGAGTTTAGTGCCAGCAACTAAGAATAAATATATCAACCTCCCCGCCCCCCCCCCCCCCCCNATTTACCCCCCCCCCCCCCCCCCCCCCCCCCCCACTCCTCTCTCCCACCGCCCAAAAACACACACACACACACAACAAACCAATTTAAATGAAGTTAACATTCAAAGTAGCAATATGCCGGTGTATGTTCATAAGTATAAAACTATTTTGTACATATAAAGTAATTTGACTTGGAAAGTAACTCAAAATCAACCAAAACAAAACATATAATGG